ACTATTTTTGTTGACCTTTGTCCATGGAAGGTCCCTGCAAAATTTCATTGAAATTGGTTCAGGGGTTTTGGAGAAGAAGTCGAAAATGTAAATTGTTTACGGACGCACGACGGATGACGGACGAGGGACGACGATGGACAAAAGGCGATAGCAATAGGTCACTTGAGACTTTGTCTCAGGTGACCTAAAAAAAAATCAATCTTGAACAGTGCCCTGAGTGCACCTACACTTTTTCGCACTTGCTTAAGCTGTAATACTGGTTGTCCCAGGCATTGGGCAAGTGACTTTATACACCCCTGTCCCTCTTGATTTTATCACCAATGGGTCCTATTTATGTGTTTGCTGATAAGCTTTGTGAAACCTTCACTAATTAACCCTGTTGTCCTTTCTGCCTTTTCTATGCCTTGATTCGGACTCCCAGTGACCTTTCCGTGAGTTTGATTTCATTTCTTTTTCACAGGGTTACTGCTAGTATCAGTTTTTTAAAAGATTTAAAAGTAAATCAGGTAAGGTCTTTAACTTCAAGCTATTAATATGAATATTATATATTCTGCTAAGGAAGCATGACGAACAGACGAGTCAATCACAAAGAACTTGCAATTTATTGATAACATCACAATTTCACAGCACACTGGAATCGACTACCATAAGCACAACATATACAACATGATCGTCACTGTACACTCAAATTATATTTTAATTAAAACATTTTTCAGCAGTCAAACACAAGTAGAAATCAAATGGAAGTTAGAATTACTTGTTTGTTAGATACTGTCCATCATGTCTCGACATATGTATAATGTAGTGGAACTGGACTGGGTCGAACTTGATCGCCATAGACAATATATAGGTGGCTCAATTGGTAGAGCGTCCGTCTATAGTTTGGGAGGTCCCAGGTTTGAATCCTGGTCCAGCTGTTGCATTTCTCTTTCTTCAAATACAAAATTTGCGAGCTTGCCAACCCTTGTTTCAATTTCATAAATTGTACTGGGAAAATACTTGGCAGGGGGATATCGGAACCTGAGTACGTTGAAAATATTGATGTCTTCAGGGACATAGAAAAAGGAGGGAGAAATATAGCAGAACTGCACAGGGTTGATCGTCGGCGACCAGGTAGCTCAATTGGTAGAGTGTCGGTCTAGAGGTCTTGAGGTCCCGGGCTCAAATCCTGATCTGGCCATTACATTTCTCTTTCTCCTGTTACACGTATAATGCACACTCACATTGATTGATATGAGGATAGAAAGAGAAGGTGTACATGTGGGGGCCAAACACTTGAGGCATTCCACTTCAGTATGGTAACTTAGTCAAACTTGACTATACTATACAGTACTGTTCAGCTAGCTATAGTTCTTTTTTTTATTGAATTAAGTTCCAAATATAAACTTTGCATGGTCTATGTTGCAATTATGAAAAGTTCTTTTTTAAACAACCAATAAAATTTTCTATGCAACGTTTCGATGACTAGTACGATATGTACACTGTCACCTTCATCAGACAAATGACCAGTGAAGCGTACGCGTATTCACACATAGGTGTAAAATGTGTGTGCATACGCTTCACTGGTCATTTGCCACCATAAAACTATTAACAAGTATATATATGCGGTCCATGGTAAGAATAAAGTTCATACTAAAAATGCATTTTGCACAGGCTGATTGGTTTGGTTTGGTTTAGTATTGTTATAAACGTCCTATCAACAGCTATGGTCATTAAGGATGGTCTCCCCTGTGTGCAAGATGCATGTGTGTAGTGTATGCCTGTGTGTTTTGGGAGGCTGTGATATATGTTCGTGTTTGTCTCCTTTTGATAGAGCGGAACTGATGCCGACTTTATAGTGCTACCTCACTGAAACATACTGCCGAAGACACCCAGCAGGACACCCCACCCGGTCACATTATACTGACAATGGGCGAACCAGTCGTCCCACTTCTAAATTGCTGAGCGTTATAAGCAGGAGTAGAAACTGCCATTTTCACAGACTCTGGTTTGTTTCGGCCAGGGGTAAGAACCCAAAGCCTTCCTCACAGGGGCGAACGCTCAACTAAAGGTCAAAATCGAGGCATTGTCTAGGGAGACATTAGGATTAATAAAAGTTGTTTAGAAAGAAAAGAACAGATAAGATCCCAAATTTAGTTGCCTCTTACAATCATGCATGCATGTACAAATTCTTATGCCCTTACCTGCAGGGAATGCACAGGCTGAAAAACTAGGACAAACCACCAAGTGGCGCCACGGCACGTGTAACCACTATTCTAGATCGTCCATGCAACGGCTAGATTGTTCAGTTTCTCACAACGCACTACATGTAGTCGATAACATAGTCTACATGTTAAGAATTCAAGATACATCCAAAGCAGGAAACAGTTACCACAACTGAGCTGCGTAATATGAATTTTAATTAGATGTTGGTCGATAGTGCAGGCTTGGATATTATCTTGCAGCTGGTATGAACAAATATCTGCTACTAATGGGGAATGTACACTCTGTAGCTCCTGGCAGCCCAGCATAAAATGTTCTGTTGTGCGGGGCAGGTCTTACATAGCGGACAAGTTGGATCTTCTGCAGTCTGGTTAACCCGGCCCTTTCACCACTGTAGACCATAATGGACTCATCCAGATCAATGCATGGTAGAGTCTACTAAAGTTACATAGGGGTGAAAGGGTTAAAGGCAGCACGGTTTGCTTGAAGAATGTATAGCAGTTTCAGCTTTACAAATGCTCTATCGATAGATCGTCCACATCATGGTTCACTAACAGGGGTTCGTTACAAATGTCTGAAATACACATATGATTTACCTTGATTTTTACCTTGATCCGGATGGCCGGGAAATGAGCTTAAATTTAAAGCTCGTATTGGCCCAATTGATATTCTATATACTGATAGGGTCACGTACAGCACACAATAACATTACTCCAACAATGTTAGAAGTTTAACTGTTACATGGCGAGATACTTTTGACAGGCGCTGCGTAACAGTCGGCAAAATCATATCCCATAGAAAAAAGGCAGACCATTGCAGCAGCCTCTTGTGCTAAATGAGTAACATAAACATACACTTAATTCATGTGTGCTGTGACCCTATCAGTATAGCATATGTGTATTTTAGACATTTGTAACGAATTGAACCCCTGTGGTTCACTGAAGATATAAGTACAGTACTTGTGGTTTTCTTGGCTGATAGCAACATGACTCCGAGCCGATACACAATGATGAATCCAGTATTCCTTGATCCTAAATTTCACAAGTCCCTTCCATTTATCCTTACTTGGCAAGTTGTCATGCAGATCAAAGGGTGAATCAAGATTGTGCATTGCAATTAGTACCTTAATTTCCTAAACCAACTATATCTGGAGTTATTTCAAAGATTAACGGACCCCTGTGTTGCAACCGCCCGATTTTATTTGATAGGCCTACTGAAGAATTGACAATGACTTGTACATTTTAACCTACAACATGAATTGAAATATATTGTTACTTACAATTCTTTACAGAATATCTTTATCTTCAGTGCAAATTTTCATGCATTTTGGAATAAGGAGTAAAGAGCATATTCGATGTCTAGCGCGACCATCTGCTTCTTGCAAACCTGGGACAGACGACGGAAGTTACTGGGTCGGCTAAATGTTTGTTGTTAACGTATTCTAGTTCACAGTTTGATAAACGTCTTGGTAACCAAGACTAAAACCGTGTAAACATCGCGATATCCCGCCGAATTTAAAGCTGTCTGATGATGACGCTATCTACTCGACCTATCAGACAGATCGTAGCCCTATTTTGTTCCAGTACGTACGTTTTCTTTGTCGAATCAATTCATCAGTATCAACAATTGATACGTCAAGCGCCTTTGTCAATTCAAAACTTATATGTTATTGCACATACTCTCAGCAGCCTTGAAGCACAGGGGTTCGATCGTTACACATGTCTGAAATACACATACATGCTATACTCATATGAGTCACATCACACGTATGTTTATGTGTGCTGTGACCCATTTATGAGCATTTCAGACATTTGTAACGAGCTCCTGTGGTTGAAGCTTAATTGGGGTGTCATGTGGTCTAAGGACGCGTATGCCTGCAAACTTGATGTACACTGAAAACTGAGGTTATCTATTTATATAAATATGCCGTTGGTGTATTCGAATGCCATTCATCTGTGACATATTAATTATTTTCAACTGCAGAAGTGGCTTGTGGAACATTTTAACATTTTATTTCAACAGTTAAAATTTTATTAATTGCTTTTTGCAATTACTTTTTGCAGAGACAGGTGCAGTTTCTCTCAATAACCTCCTGTACAGATTGAGGAATCAGAGACTACAGACCTCCAGCCCTTTACCAGTTACAGTTTGTCTTCAACGTTTCCATGTTCTTACAGATCAAAAGGTAATACATTTTAAATAACATCTTGACCATTTATCTGTAATTATGATCAGTAATCAATGTCAGGGTTCAAACCATCTTGACCCTTGTCAAGGTTATCATTTCTCAGTTTGATGCTTTGCATAAATTTATAATTCATGTATTAATTGCATTGGTGAAGTGTAAGACTGGCTGTTTGTAGGTCCTGAGTTTGACTCTTATATATCTTGTTTTTCTCTTTTGTTTATTGGTGTTTTCAAAAGAATCCAACAACTGTAATTCCAACATGTGTTTGTATTTGACACACTTCTGTAGAAAAAACTAGTTTGTAAAACACCTACTTCATGAGAGTGACAATAAACATTCATGTTCTGTGTAATGTGTTTTTTTAGTGCAATTTTTGTTANAGTGTTTATTCATGTAATGATATAACAATACCTGTGATAATATATATGTAGTCATGTCCATCGTATTCGTAAAGTGAAAGTAACTGTATATGTATATTGTAACTGAGTCTTAGTTTCGTATCTTTTTGTTAACAGGTTTCTTTGGAGAGAATAAATACAAGAGACCTTGAAAAGTCGTTAAAGTTGTTCTTACCCAGCCTTTGGGGCTAAGAGGGTTACATGTAAAACACCTACTTCATGAGAGTGACAATAAACATTCATGTTCTGTGTAATGTGTTTTTTTAGTGCAATTTTTGTTATTGTCTGCATGTAAAAATTGTGTTTCCCAAAATATAACAGTTTTTCAAATGTGAGGACATTGCCTATGCCTATGTGTTGCACAATTGAGAGTGTGACCTAGCTCTTTCTTGTCTCAAATTTTACTTGATATTTCCAGAAAGAAAATGCTTAATTTGATACAGGTCTACAATGTAAATACCATTGTATGGCATTGCCACTATGTAAGTCCCTATATATATCTATCACATTCAGATGACATTCATATAGGCTATGAATGCCATGAGCTGATTGTTGACATCATCATTATTATGATGTCATAATTGTAACGTTGGATACTGCTGATCCTCTCTGGACACGTGGCTGTTCTATTCATTGAACAAGAGGCTAAGGGCCACATAATATATATATATCATCCTCGATATCCAGGGTTACGCTCACTTTCGCTCTCTGTACCCCTGGAATATGTCATAGCAAAATTGAAGGCACGAAGATAGTTATTTGATTGGTCTTGGGTTAAAAAAAACTGACCATGCAATCGCTAGGCTGATACCTATCCTTTGAAGATTACAAAGGAGAGACAACCGACTTCAAAGCTTACAGCCTGTCAATATTTACCATTAGGTGACAGCAAGATTCTTTTGATGTACATCAAAGGATCAAACTAGTCTTCTTGTCTCATCAACAAGGTGGCGCACACCGAGCCTTCTATTTTGCTATGACATATATATTTTCCAGAGGTGTAGAGAGCGAAAGTGAGTGTAACCCCTGGATTTCGAGGATGTATATTATATGATATATATCTCTCTCTGGCATATCATATCACATGCTGAAAATATACTTAAAATAACAATTCAATGCTGTATCAATGAATTAAGAGACATTTTACAATAATGTTAAGCTGTACCGGTACGGTATATTAACGTGTATATAATGTGAAATCACTATTGTGGGGGGTTTAATATCATTGATTTGATGAGTAATCTTTATCCACACATTCACAGGTCCACGAAGTAATTACAAGTCTGATATCAAGCAATTCTCTATTTGAGTGGGTACTCATAATCCAAGAATTCATGTACCCACGAAATGCTGTTTTGTTGCAAAACCACAAAATTTGGGCCCCACAAAAATATCTGATTTCACATTATGTCACCCAAGGTCATAAGTAAAACTGCTTATTGTTGTAAGGTGACGGTGCTGATACCTCATCATAGGAAAAGCTAGTTTGCCAGTAAGGCAGTATTTCCCCTTTGTGGGTTATCCCTGTGTACCAATGAATCTTGTCCTTAACCTCCAGAAACTGGCTGTACACGATACCTCAGAATCTCACCGCTGCCACCAATAAATGTGATATTTCTAATTACATTCGCTACTCTCTATGAGAGGGATCCTGTTTTGTGAGCACTTTACTAGTCTAGAAATATAAATATACATTTATACACATAAGTGTTACCACACAACGTATAGCTATTTGGTAACCTTAATTAAGGCCATAATAAATTATTTGCTAGATTCTCATCCCCGCCCGCCCCCTCTTTGAGGCCCCGCCCCAATTTTTTTTATTTGCGAAAAAAAACAACGAAAATACGAAATCCGGATTTTTTTCCGTTTTCCGCTTCAAAAATTAGTTTTATATTATCAATTTCCGGTTGTAGAAAACTCGTCGTCTGCAAGTATGGTTTTTGTAATTCTAAAGTTGCCGTTCTTAAAGATTGGTATGGGTGTTCAGTAGCCGATACTATAACAAGTATTTTGCTTCTGAACAAGTCTTTCATGAATTAACAAGGAACAATTGACAAATCTGCGCCCGTCGAGTGTGGTAACAGGGCCGTTGTGTCGGCCGGTAAATCGAAAGTGGAACTGACCCAGTGTGATGGCGCATGTACGGTGGGGGAAGTGGTGTCGTACCTCGGAGCTTA